GAGATATTTGAAGAACAAGCAATAGAGTCCGCGCCTTGCAAGCCTAAGATCTGGAAACGCTACGTAGATGTCGTTCCAAAGCCGGTTAACTTTAACCCAGGATAAAACGTTAACTGAAGTATTATTTTTTCTTGTTTAAAAATGTTTTTCACCTCTTACGTTTGGCGTAGTTTGAGATTACTACAGCTCAAAACTGAAGGGCAAACAATATAAACAGAACACCTCACCAAAAAGTTACATAACTGAAAGCAAAATTCTCGCTAATCCTGGGTTAGCTTAATCGGGCTTTGAACAACCCGGCCCTGTAGAATATAATGTTTAATTCCACTCCCTTTAAAAAAATAAAAAATATATATATATATATATATTATTATTATTATTATTATTATTATTATTATTATTGTTATTATTATTATTATTTTTAATTGAATATAAGCTTAGCTCGAAGCTGCAATAACGCCCTAACATATATTTATTCAATATTCAGGTTAACTAATCTTGAGCCACCTTGAACTAAAAAAAACCATATTTTAAACTGGAAACCAACGAAATTTATGTTCATATTTTCATTAAAGAACAAAATCAAAGGTGGAGAACACGATAAATACCATGGGAATCTAAGATTTTTAACTGAGTGAAAGTAAACACATGAGTTGTTGCTTTATCGAAATACAAAATAAAAGGTCTTCGGAATAAAATAGTTTGCCATATTTACATCGCAAGCGTAACTTGGCGCCTGAAAATATATGCCATTTTTTCCAATTTAGGAGTACAGCAAAATGAGAAGCAGACAGTTTGTCAATCTGTTTGCAAAAGGAAAAGTATAAATTTAAATTCAGTTGTTTGAATGGCCTTTAATTAATTAAGTAACTTTTAACTTAAGAAAATCGCATACATGCAGGGCTGTAAAATAAATTGTTTAACATCCTACCTTTTGCCAAAACGTTAACAAAACCGAGGAATATAGTTAAGCTAACAGTCGAAGTCGCAATGACGTCCTGTTATAGATATAATTTAACATTCAGGCTAATTCTAGCTCGAACAAGTCTGAAGAAAAAAATTAATAAGATGAAAACAAAAACCGTTTCGCGAAACGCCACTCGGGCCGGGAGCGAAGACACATTAACTTTTCTTTTTAAATTAAGTTATCGAGAAATCTCCTGATTCTCTGGCATTGTTTTGACAACAACACAGTTTTTCACCTGAACGTTACCTTCGTAGGATTACATGTTTTTCCCCTTCCGTCTCACGCGCGCGTATGAAGTCGGTAGTATTTCAGGGCCCGCCTAGTTTGTAACTTTGGGATAACATCCGGCTTATTCCGGACCGAGTTTAATATAATCTTTATGAAAGGCCTGCAATCCCTCCAATTTTCACTGTAAAGACTGAATATTCTCAGAGGTACAAGGTGTGGGCCTTAAACCACCGTCCCTCCTCGAGTGTAATTCGATCCTGGTGCAGAAAACCAGCAAGACTATTATCATGGCTACAAAAAAGATTACCTTCTTTCGATAACTGACGAGGGAGCTTCTTTCTGAGACCTTTTTGTGTTTATAACTAGTAAATAGTGACAAGAATAGTGCCATTATAACAGTTGCGACATTTACGCTAAGCTTTTGATCAGCAACTGAATAGATATGTTGAAAGAAAAAAATTGAACCTGAAGTTCTTCCATTTATCTCAATGACTGGCTGGATGGATGGACGGACAGACAGTGTACTTCACTGAATAGCTGTAAGTGAAGAGGGTGAATCGATTCGTCTGCTAAATTAAAATGACAATAGAAAAAAGTTCTAATTTTACAATGGCCTTGAGAAAAAGACCTGCGTAGGAAAATGCGATTGCTGTGACGATATAACATGAGAAAGTCAGAAAGTTCTACCACTATAGCTTTTAAGTAATAGCAATTTGAAATCAGCGCGGATCTTGCTATTGTTATTGTTTTTCCTGCTTATATGACATAAGAACTGCGAGTTGCAAAATAATTACACCTGGGCTAACCCTAGTTTGAAATCTAAAAGGATATACATTTATTTTTTCCAGTAAATAATATATATCAATAAGGAAATATTTGCTGTTATCAAGTCATTCATTACTTGGAAGTTGGTTATGTTGGAAATGCTTTTTTATTTTCAAACTTCGCTTGGCAGAGTTAGCATAACAGCAAAGTAAGAG